GGGGCTGCTCAACGCAAAATGCTCTATCCTTTTCGTCCATTGGGATGACGACTACATTATTCATTAGCATTTCGATGATCAGATTGCGGAAACTTTGTTTTTGTTGTATGAGTAATATCGAACGTATTTTTTACAGTATCGGCTGGTGACCCAGTGATAGCGTTGTCACGGTCACCGATGGAGCCAGGATTCCTGATTTTGATAAGGATGACATCATTGAGATTGTTCAAAATCACGGGAATGGCACATTCACGGTAGGACACCTTGTACTCAGCACAATTCTATGCAATAAAACCCATTGGTACTGATTTAGGGTATTCTTCTGAACGATAGACAGAATCCGGGCCTAGTCCACAGTGAGCATGTCCGACGAGTGAGGGTGAGGCAGAGTACAATGTTTTCTTTTCTCAGAAATGACTAATACTTCAACAGAGAATCATCTTGCAAAGCTTTAGACCAACTCTGTGCAAGGTATGACTTCTCCGCTCGATAGCCCGGCCAATTTCCGTATCGATAGAAAGGAATCAACGGTTCTTCCAGGCAATGAATGGGTAACGGTAAGTGCTCAGCTCTTAAAATTATTATCGTTTTAATCGTGTCAGGTCATCTTCTCCTCTCCATGAGTCATCAGCAAAAAGTTGTGGCTGTGTAGCATTCGCAGCTGCGTGACTAACAGCGATTTGTTCCGATAGTGCTTCGTTGATAGATGATGATGATCATCGGAGTGTGCTTGTTTCGCCCCCCGCTGACTCCACACGAGTATATAGTAAGGCTTATCGGGATCGCTTTGTCATAGCTCATCTCGGAATTGCTGGCTGTTTGCTTATCCCACTCATACTTTATGTTTCGCAACTAGGTGTCTTGATTTCCTAGACAGCAAAAGTGCCTTACTTACCTCTTTGATTTCTCAGCTCTGACCATTGAAGCTTTTTAATGTTTTAAATTATTGCGTAATTTTTCTTAACCTTAAACATTCTGTAGGATATAACCTAGCGGATGTGCTTCCGATTCTCAGTTGCAACCCTTTTCCTGATCTTCAACGCTCTTGGATGCGGCATAGGCGTGAATTCTTTCACTTCAACAGCGGTATCCTTCATCCTTCGCCACCCCTTTTAGCCTTTCGATCATCAAAAAGGCACTAATTTACCCTTTACTCCTCAATTCTTGAAAACTGAGCCGTTTTTTTTCGAAATTTGCCCATGACTGTGGATTTGGCTAGAAACTTGCGCCAGGGGTAGTTCAACCCGTAATAACACGAATATCTCACTCGTTTAGCGCGAAAACGCTAGGCACCCGCGCCACAGGTGCTGACGTCGAAAAGCGTCAGAATACCTTGGATCACCAAATTTGTTGGAAACTTGTCGTCGTCTGAGATAGTTGAACTCGTAGGATATGAAAATCGCATTATTTCAACGAGTGACCCTCTGTAGCGTGCGCTGTGGGCGCTGGCGCTCTCTCGCGGGCGCCAGACGTTTCGCGCTAAACAATGTGATATTCGTGTTCTACGGGTCGAAATTACCCCTGAAGACAAGTTTCTAGCCAAATCTTTGTCATAGACGAATTTCGATCAAAATCCAGCTCGGTTCTCGTGCAGGGGCAAAAGGGTAAATAGTGCTAGATAGTAAGTTCCACTTTCCAAGTTCCACTTTTCGATGTTTATTCACACCTTCCAGGATGCAGAGTGAGGTGGTGCAGTTGTCTGAATGTTATTTAAGGCCGATGAATCCGGTCACTTATGTTTGCTCGTATGCTGTGCGATCCATTTCTTTAAACAATACCAACATTCTGAAGCTGTAGGTGACGTGAATACGATTTCGAGAGTAGTAAGACTAATTTCAGGATGACACCAACTCCTCAGCAGGATTATGTGAACACGGAAGTTAGCCTCCAACCATGGTACATGGGCGATTTGGAACGTGCTGAATCGGAAGCGAAACTGCGTGGGACACCAAATGGGACATTCCTTGTGCGATACAGCAAGAACCGAAGGAGCTACGTAATCAGTATAAGGTAGCTGAATAACCAATACATTTGTTTTGGATAAGTGTAAAAGCGCTACCATCTTACGTTGCCCATAAAATGATTTATTTGGTAATAGCTGGCAAGTGGCAGCATTCGGAAGCTGGAGCGGGTCTCATGTTTCATAGCGTGTTGATCGTCAAGGTTCCGCTTTTCGATTTTCATAGGGGTATCCGGGCGAAGGAAAAACTGTGAGAAAACTTACTTCACTTCACAACCTAATTCGCATTCTAAGAACTTTTGATCATCATTGTGAAAATTATGGTGAGGGTTACTTACGGGAAGTCCGTTGGAACAGAGGTCGTTTCTGAGCACTGCTGTGGTAATCTTCGAAAATTAGTAAAAGATAGCCGCCGAAAATTCTTCGCTAAGACCAATCAAGCTTTCAATCTTTCTGGGTTAGCATTGGTATGGCTGGTGTCAGAGTCCGCGATTCCGTCATAGGTTTCGCGCGAATCGCGCGACGGATTGCAGAAATCACTAGTGGCCGATCAATACTGCAAGGTGCTCTCCAATCTCGCCACCATTTCTGTTGATGGTGGTGGTTGTTAGTGATTCTACTTGTTCCATGTTCAGTGTTTCAAATGTGGCACGTGCGATTTTTGCGATTCGCGCGAATCGCGCGAAACTGCGACGGATCGAGCTCTGACACCAGCCTGTCATATATGTGTGGAAGGATAAATACACTGACTTGTTTATCAGTATTGGAGCATCCAGCATACCTAGCTTGAAGAAAAGCTGATTACGTGGCGCATCTAAAAAATGAGTCGACTAAATGGATTCACCTGTCATTTTCGGTGCCGGCGAAAGGAACAATGTCGTTCCGTTCCGAATCTTAGTCATTCCAACACGCAGTTCAGTGAAGTGTAACATTTGCAGAGTACTGCATGATACGTCAAGATCTATTTCTCCGAAGTAGATTGATTTGTTCGTGGCTCAATTTTCCCTTTTTCAGCTATGAAGGCGAAGTGAAACATACAGTTGTCGAGCAACGGGACAACAGTATCTATTATCTGGACGAGGGATACGTGTTCCACAGTATAGTGGTGAGGACATTCTTGTCATTGGTGTACTTTTTCTTCTGTCATGTCAAGTGAATCATCGAATTCTCGGGAACAGTGTACTTCCAACTGTTTTCGAGTGAAGAATGTTACACTGTTGGTGAATGTCATTGTTTAGGAGCTGGTGAACTACACTACAGGGAGAATAATCTATGCGAAAGTTTCAACTCTCTCAACACGACTCTGAAAAACGCTTACCGAACGTGCAAGGTTCTTGTTTAGTCTTTTCTGTTTACCTTTTTTGGACATTTTTTATATAGCAAGAGTTGGTTAGCGCTAGTTGGACACAGTTTCGCGCGTTACGTAGTTGTTTCTTGGGTATTCGATCCGTTTTCACATATTAACCTCAGTTCATCTGGCAACCGGTTTTGAATATTGAACAACATGTGTTCATTCAGGTTTAACAAATGACAATAGTGGTCTGTTCTCCTTTTATCGTGACATGAACCGGGAGCCAGAGGGATTGTATGTGGTCCTGAAGTGTCTCTCATAAGTGAATCTAGCTGAATATAACCAACAACGAGATGTGTAGGGGCAAGATAGATAGCAGAAGTAGAACGGATAGGAATGTTCAAGACCCATAATCTGGGGGTAATTTCAAGTCATGGTTTGAAAAAAGGATCGAAAAATTGTGCTGCTGATGGAAGGCATGGTGGTGTTGAAGCGCGTTAGGCTTTAGGGAGCTTAGTTTAATTTCCTCAGAAAGTACGATTTGCAGAAATACCGGATGAGTTTGTGATTCTGTCCAACCACGGATTGCAATTAGGGGCGAAGAGCCACTCTCTCTTAAGATGGGAATGAGTGGTGGAAGAATAAAGCTCCCCGGTGGCGCGGACGCGAGCGCGTGCTGATGACGTCACAGCTGCGGCAACAGCGACGAGAGTACGAGAAAAAAGCGTCGCTGCCATTTGCTTTAATAGTAGAAGGGTTGCTGGCACCTCACCAACTAGTGCAATCAGTAGTGCCATGAACGAAGTGATTGTATTGCGTATAAGTACAATTTTTGCCTTTGAAAATTTGGAATTTTTGCGAATGTGGAGAAAATCGATGGTTTTGTGTGTGAACCCTAACGACTGTACAATAATCGAAGTTGATTTTAATAAGTCCATTCTTACTCATTGTTTCTAAAGTCGATAGTGTTTAATACGTAACGTTGTGAAAGTATTGGCAGCCTTCCTCAATTCTTCGCCGCCGCAGTGACGTCAAAGTGACGTCACCCGCACGCGTTCGCATCCGCGCCGCCGGTAAGCTATCCATGGAGCCGGAAAGAGTGGTCCTCAAGCACAATCGCGACGCTGTCTCGCAGTGAGGGCGCTAAGGCCGTGCATTATCCGTTGCGATTCCTACCAGTCGTAGCTACGTGGCGTTTGCGCCCTCTTGTTTGACGGGCTCTTTCGAGTTTTATCTCCCCTCGCAGCGCTGTGTCCTTTGCCTCATACCATAGCCGACCACAGAAGAGAAATTTCAGTGTTTCCTATGGCGTCTTTTACTTTTTCTCTCCCACAGTGTTTTTCTTGGCACTTATAATCTAATTTTCGAATAAAACAATACACCAATTCGACCCTGACCCATGCCTCATAAAAAGCGTTAGCCGTACTTCTTCATTTTTTGTGACCTTGTTTGGTTCTATATATGCTGCATAATTCTTGAGCGCTGCTCCTGTTTATGAACTTGGTTAGTTCATCGCAGAAGTTCTCGGCTTTTCTTTGAAGTGTTGAGGAATCCGGGGATCGTTATGGATTATTTATATGAAATGTATGTGAAGGCTCTCTTCACATCGAATCTGCTGTGTCCTTTCCTAGCTGTTGTGGGTGAAAAAACTCCTGACTGAAAACGAAAGTACGTTTGATTGCTCCCCCTTTCTGAACTCAGGAAGCGCGTCTGTGCAAGCGATTTTGCGAGAAACTTATGTGATGCGGAAAAAAACCTCTTGAAAACCATGGCTTTTTGATTTTCCGCCTGTTTCCGCCTGCCTTCATCCAAGAATCCATCCCTAGGGGTCCATTAGTTGATACCAGACTAGCCTGGGAAGAAAATAACAGCGACCTGTATATCTGCTGGCCCCTGCAAACCCTCGTTTTGTCCAAATCGTATTCATTCAATCATTTTGTGATGCGTCACGCATTCTATTTCCACTCAGAATCGTAGTGGTGATTTAAATGCAATTGGCATATGTAATGGCTTGCTAGGGTCAGCCAATGAACAAATCAGGTCGCAAGTCGTCTACTACCAGTTAGTCGACCCAGTGGTATGGAAGGTCTAGTTAACCTGGACAGCGTGGGATCGAGGATTCAGTCCTTGGACGCCTTTTCTCACTACATCTCCTCTGCCCCAAAGAATTATTTTATGAAGTGAAAATTCAATTATATTGCACTAAAGTGGCACTATTTTCAGCTTTTTCGAGTTCTCCATGATTTTGATGCTACTGAGCCGAAATTTTTAACACTACGTAAGGGTGACCGCCTTACGCTCGTAGACGTGATTGGTGAAGATCGTGGATGGTGGAAAGGTCAAATAGCCGACCGGGTGGGTTTTTTTTCTACATTTCGTTATTCATATGTATTCGTTCGATTATGTGTGATTCAATGTTTAGATCGGCTTCTTTCCACTGAGCTACGTGGAACCGTGGAAAGACTAGGTGGTCTTATTCTGTTCTCTGTGCACGATTTATCGTAGAAGAGCTACGGCTAGTTTGCATCGTCCGATCTCATCTTTTTGTTCGTTTTTTAAACATTCTTTCCTAGGGATGGTTGGTTGTTTCGCAAGAGGTCATTTTTTAACCTATGAAGCGGTGACATAGTTTTCGTCCCGTTGTTCATCTGTTTTATCAGATTTTCTTTTATGAGTACCTAGCGCGCTTATAGTACTGTTTTATTGAGCATTCCAAAGGCCAGTTTCAATTCAGTTCACTTGTTCACTTGTAATACTTGTTTCACTGCTTGTCTTATTGAACTACTTATTTCTTTCCGTTTCAATGTTTGCTAGTCCGATTTGCTTCAATCCAATTTGTAGACATTAATTTTATGATGCCTTCGTACTGAACCGATTCTCATTTTGCTTGTTATCTTTACTTACCTTTCACAAATCGACCGCCAACTTATGTTAGCATATGTATATGTACAGGTGCCAATTTTCCATTTTTTTTATCATCAATTTATACGTTGTATATAGAATTGCCTTAAATTTCTATCATAGGTCCCTTTACAGCAGCCGTGAATATATTGAAAGGACAGAATGTCCGCTGTGTTTTCAGTATTCAGTACATCATATAAAGCTGAAAGATTGTTCTGCGTTGATTTTCTCGCTTGAATGGCGTGGGAACTGGAATAAGAACCAGTTCTCTCGGGAGATCTGAGCGCTGCGAATTAAAGGTAGAGTTAAGATGAAAACCGCAGCTCATTAGAAATCAAGGGAGAGGTGACCAGTGGAGCAGGGATGAAGAAAAACCATGAGAAACGGCTAGAACCCGAGAAATGGGACCTTCCTTGCCCGTTGATTTCCGCATTGATGCGACTGTCATTGGTGCCGTTCTCTTCAACCCTGACGCTCTCCTTGTTAGAGCAGCCGCGTAGGCCAAAGTCAGACGGCGAGGGAGCGGGCGGGCAATGGCGCGAGCGGCACGGTTATGGCGCTAGGCCGCTTGATGCATACTCTTCCCGCGCATAATCCCGCCCCTCAGGTCCTTAGAAGGCAAACCCCGGGATTAAACAGGTGCTATTAGCGCTTCGTGGTGATAGCTTAGCTGCGGAACGACCTGAAAGTGGAAAGGAAAGCAAGAGAAATCTTTGGAACGCTGAAATTAAGGCCTTAACCTTCAATAAGGTCGGATGTGGTACGATGGCGAGACAGGGCGGTCAAAGAAGACAAAATACGCGAGAGAGCACGCTGATCTCTACATCAATGCACGCTGATCTCACCATTCTCGCGGTGGGTGGGAAGCGTTGCAACGGGGTCGATGGTTGCAGGCCCGTAAGGATTAGCGCCCTAACCGCGCAATTTTTGCGACGAAGCTGGAGTGATCTAGGTAGGTACGGACCTTACAATTTCCCTCGTGGTATCCCTCCTACTAGTCGGGCTAATCCCGGGGTTTGCCTTTAAAGGGCCCGCCTTTGCATTAGGTATATTTCTTCCCCTTCTTTGAGCTCCCTCCGGCCTTATCGTGTAATTCTCCTTTGATCTGAAGAGGATCGAGGTATTCCTGTACGAGATCCTATTCACAGAAATGTGGAGCACTTCCGGCTCTGGCTTCCGTTCTATCCTTGCCTTGAATAAGCGGTGATGTTGTTCCGTTTTCAACAGCATTCCCTTTTCTGTGGGAAATGTGTGTTAATCATATTCGTGTCTAATTTTAGCCTTCAGAAATAAGGAGCCAGTGCAGTGACCGAAAATACCACTTTATAGGTATGCTACAAGGGGTACAGCGGTGCCCACTGCGCATCCACAGTAGTCTACCTGATGAACCATCTTGTGAAAAAATAATTGAAACAGTGGAATGAGGGTCAACTAACTGTAAGATGAACACTTCAGAGCCGGCTGTGTGTCGCATCCTCATAGAACTGTCTAAGTCCTCCACCTCATATTTCAACGCATATGAAGCCGTTCGGGTAATGGTAAGTACAAAGGAGATAAGCAGGTTTTCGGCAATAAAATCGGGTCAAAAGGAGCGATGAAACTATGCGATGCTCATCGGCTGTGTTTAGAAAGTTTTTCTTTTCTGTTCTTTACGGTCAACCGATACGATCTGGCGCAAGGGTCGAGGTCGTCAAGTGTATCGAGATATCTCGCCAACGAACCATCAAATATTGTCTCTATCTTCTTGCGAACAAGCTACTCTGTGATTATTAGGTGTCCGGCTTTTTTGAACTATCCAAACATTTCTAATTCTAAAATATAATCATTTCCTGAAAATTATGCCAAAATTAGAATATCACGTGATTTCGAAGGGATTGGGTCACTTCGAGGGTGCCCAACTCTTTGCCATCTGTCACTCTATTCCGCATCATTGTGAGAAGTTCTCTACCATGTTCCCTGTGTACTCATTATATTGAACCTTCTTTTTTCTTTGCTGGACTTAATTGACAAAGTCACATTTAAACACGCAACCATTCTCGACTGATCACAACCGAACCGCGAGAGAATAACGTTGCCATTAGTTGGTTGTTGGGCATTTCTCTCATGGCTTGCTCCCTGTTAACAAAATCAGTTGCTTAGTAAGCGTAGTTGTAGCATTCTTTTGCTACATCTAATATGGGAAGGGCGGATGTAGTGCAGTAGCAAGTGGCGCCATATCAGTGCTCAAATCTCGTATGAGATCTCACCCGATACTGCAAATTCCTTCTGGTCGGTCACTTGGAAACACACTTATCTGGTGGAATAAATGCGCTGACTTGTAAAAAACCATGAATGAAAATTAACCGACTAGTTTTTGCATCACAATCTGGCATTGCTCAAAGCAAACGCAGGGACTCAACTATGCTGGAATCCGTTTATGGCCCGATGTCAACTTTGCGAATCGAAGCGATGTGGCGTGGTCGCCGTGCGATACCAGCCAATCGGGAGCCCGTTTCGCTGACGGCGACGCATACGCAGGCGCTAGCCGAACTCGCCTCGATCTCGCACCACGAACTGATGCATTGGCCTACTAGAGCTTCACCGGTTGGAAGACTCTGAGCTCTATGTTAATAGCCAACAAAGCAAGATGCATCTAGTCTCTAAGCTTTATTTCTTCTTGCAACCCTGGTCGTGCCTCAGTTGAGTTTTTTGCCACTTGCTCACGCGCACTCACGACGCACAGTTGCGCACTCATATATATATGAAGCCTCAGGATGTAGTTGCCACTCACTCCACCATTTTTGTCTCAAAGTTATAACACTCTCATATGTTTCTCCGGAGGATACCGTCGCTCCTCGTTGCTAGCTAGGGCTTCCTCATACAAATTGGCTGTTGAAACCCATCCTGTCTTCCCAGCATATGTATGTGAAGTTAATACATGTGTGATACTCGTTTCATACTACTTCCATTTGCACACAATCGCAAGCTTCCCTGTACAGGCAAGTGGCATGACTATCTGATATGTAGTGCTTGCCATAGAGTCTGCTTTAACACATTCACGACGGCGCCCCTTTTCCACTTTTCGGTCGCGTGGGACGGACGCGATTTTGTGGGCGCCGCCGCCCAACCCACATCCGCGGATTTTGTACTGTAAATGAACAAAAACAATGAAAACATGAATGTCACAAAATAATTTCAGCAATGTTCAATGCGTAAAGATTATCTGAACATATAATAGTAGGATTTCGATCAAAACGACAAATAGTGGTTACGAAAAGAGAGCATTTATTCACTTTCCCCGTGAAGGAATTTAAAAGCATTTTAACTCGATTACGAGATTTACCCACCTATCTGTCCATTCCTAGCGCCTGGCAAGCGATTATCAGCTGGCAGCCCATATGGGCTGCCATCGTCCCACGCACAATGTCCTTGGCAGGCCCATATGGGCTGCCGTCGGCGTGAATGTGTTAAACCAACGAACATTTGATGTGTTTGATGGAGTTCTTTGAAATTGGACATCATCTTGTAGCTGTACTGTTACAATTTCTCCTTGGATTGCATAGAGAAATACACATATTGTGCCATGTCGGTCCAGCTATCCGCCAATTTGGCGCCCTCGCCGAAAATAAGCGCCATATTCATGATCAAAGCGCAAAAGCCAAAGCTCTTCGGTGATGCCTCAAGACGCTAAAAGAGCCTTGACTCAGGGAAGCCCCCCCCCCCAAATCAATGGAGCTCTTTCATGAGGATCACTTTGGTTTTTTCTCTGGGGTCCCAGAGACTCCAAAGCTACCCAGCTGCACGTTTTTTTTTTACAGTGCTGGGCCAAAACCCTTCATTCTAAAGCACTAATTAAAACAACAGACACATATGCTATAGAGTCGCACCAAATTTCCGCGATAATTCTTTTAGATGGGACTAACTAGTAGATCGAGCTAATATGAAGGGTCCGGAGAAATTCCCAGCTGAGTGAGCCACGGTAAGAGGAAAGTTGGCTAGGGAAAGCCTCCCTCCCACCCCCCTCCCCCTCCAAAAGCCAGGCCCCAACAAATCCCACACAGGTTCCCACTATTCGCTTCCATTTCTGGACATGACTTTTTTTTTCAAAAGCTGCCCGTCTAGCGAAGGATAGTAAAGGACCCTATGTGCTGGAATCCTCGCTTACCCAAAAAATCGGAGGTGAATAGTGCCCAAATTTGGCTTGTATAAATCTTGGCATAGTCCAGAATATGAGAGCGTAGTTGCTTAGCTTCCAACCAAGATTGACAGTAACTTTTATTAGGCCGACGTTTCGGTGCTTTCACCTTCTTCAGAGCCTGGAAAAGACGAAACCATTTAGGAAACTACCCGTCCAAACACTATTTCAACCTACAAGAATCATTCAACAGGGTGTAGTTGAGCAGAGAGGGTCCACCTCTACCCCGAGCTGGAAGTAACACGGTTTAAATAGTTAAGGCCTCTGCTGCGGATCTAATTTTTTCCCAGGAAGTCCCTCAATGTCCTTCACAGTTCTGACGGAATGATCTTTTTATGAGCACGTTTTCGGCTAGTTCCACTCACTGTTGTAGGATACCTTCTGAGTCTCCCTTCCGCGTAGAAGGTGCTCCAGACCGCCAGATCGTGTGCTGTAGCCAGGTCTAAAACCTTCACTCATTCAGCGTTCCTATTGCTTCACGCGGGTCTCTTCAAATCACTTAGGACGGTGGCCCTGTAGTGCCTATCATGATGCCACGATCACGCCGCGTAGTGGTGTGTTAGCGGCTTTTATTCTTTACCATCTCACACCACAACGTTCCTGATTCCTCGTTGTCTCTTGGCGCAATTCTGTATGTCTAACACAAGCATTTCTTCGATGCCTCCAGAAGTAAGATAACGAAACGAACGTGAAAGCGGAATGAAACCGTCCGATAAAATTCCCAGATCTGAATATCATAAACCAACACGGTTTGTCGAATAACGTGCTAAAACGTGAAGTCAATCACAGAAACATTTTCACATCAGCTGCCGTTCCATCCTGCCTTTTAGGGTTCTTCCCCGACGACCGCGGCTACTTTGTCGAGAGGTTTAACAGTACTGAATGGGCAGAAGAGCTCAACTACAATGAAGATTTCAAGCAAGTAGGGATTCAAGTGTTTCATATTACTGAGCTCCTGATTCTTACAATAATGTGTCAAGTGATCATGTTTTTGATTCCCATTCTTGTGAACTACTCCTTGCTAAGACCGCCAAGGTAGAGCATTCGGTTTTTATGGCAGTAGTTCATAATGGTAACGTCTACAGTCGCATTCCCTCTCACAAACAGTGGAATAATCTTTTTTATTTTTCACATTGTGCACCTTCACCTCACCGGCTCGCGCTCGAAAGCCTGAGTCGCAAAAAAACTCATAAATATTCTCTTCTGAATGGTGTCATGAAACCGCCTAATCACAGGGATGGTTGGTACTGCGACCAAACGTACGACGGGGAGCTTTGCAGATAAGTTCATACGCAGAGAAATGAATTGAGTTTGCCGATGTAATCGCGCACGCCCTGGATCTGTCTTGAGACTGCGCGACGCTCTCACACGCTCACTCGCCTCGCTCCTCACTCGCACCTGAAAGTTTGATTCGGCCAAAACTCGCCAACCCAATCTCTAATCATTAAAGCAACAGTCCAGGCAGGTTTCAACTACTTGGTCATTAGGCGGTCAAAACATGCCCCAGCCCAACTAAAGTTTATAGGAAATGTCTTTAAGTTCAAAACCTACCTCTAAAATGCGCTGGAAGGGGTCGAAGTCCTCTTGGAGGGGGCGGATCACCCATACCGAGGCGGATCGCTCAACATACGCTGTGCAGAGTCCGTGCTTGACTAGCGGTCGTTGCGGGACCGCCGCGCTGTATGAGGTCGATTCCATAAGATCGCAATTGAAGCGCTTTAATTCGATTGCTGGCAAATAGTTATGTATTTGCAAGCATGCATGGCTATTTGCCAGCAGTTGCAATTGGAGCGCATTTACCGAAGCAGATTCGGACAACTTCGTCCAACACACGTATTCCCCAATCGCTAAACGGCAGGGGAGTCGATTAGTCCTCTGTCTAACCAGGAAGGTCTTTCAGGGCGTGACGAGCTTTTTGAAAACGGTCTTTTGCATGATATAGGGGCAGATGCGGGGACCACAGAACCATGTTTAATTTTTCCTGAACGGCCCTCTGAATACCAGAAAAGGAGGTCCCTAGTTCGATTCCTCTTGGTGACAAATTTTTGCATTTCGAGTTGACGTTCCAAAATTCGCGCAAAATGGAGTTCTGATTGTTCTGGTTGGTTCTAACTCCATTTGCGCGAATTTTGGCACGTCAACTCGAAATGCAAAAATTTGTTACCACGAGGAATCGAACTAGGGACCTCCTTTTCTGGTATTCAGAGGGCCGTTCAGGAAAAATTAAACATGGTTCTGTGGTTCCCCGCATCTGCCCCTATATCATGCAAAAGACCGTTTTCAAAAAGCTTGTCACGCCCTGAAAGACCTTCCTGGTTAAGCCCCAGTTGGGCGTTTTTTCACTTTTTCTCTTTACGTTCGACCACTTTTCACCTACAACTTCCATATAGGTGCTTTTGGCCCGCAAATTCGTTCCTGGACTGTTGCTTTAAGTCTGCAATAAGGCTGATGGTCATTTTTCCAAATTTTTACCAAGTTATTAATCGATTTCTCGTAGTCGATAACGTATCAGAGTAAGTTTAGCAGATAATATCGCCTTGCTTTCGTAAAAAAAATTTGAATTGAATTTTCTTCTTTGTTTCAAAAGTATGTGCACACTTAACAAAAGACAAAAACATAGCTGAGATTAGAAATCAGTGGGCCTCCAGAGTTTCTAATTAGCTCAAACATCCTGTCCGGCATAATCTGAACCACGTTTGGCATAGTTGTTTCGTCGCTGTCGGCCCAAATAGCCTTTGCCGCCGCCTTCAGGGTTAACTGAGGCTTTTAGATTGTTTACCTCTGTAATTGTCCGCAGCTGGTTGAGAATCTCATAAAAGGATGCCCATGACATTTTGATTGAACTCAGATTAGGCCAGATAGGAAGACTAGAAGCTCTTCCTTCAGACCAAGCCTTTGTTGAGGCTCTGACATGAACGGCAACCAGCGAATCTCACCCCAGCAGAAACTTAAGCACACGCATAGAAATTGCTAAATGTACGGTAATGATCCAGTTTGGAAGACGCCGTGGTAAGCTCTAGAGTTCATCAGATGTGTGATGAACAAGATTCGACTCTTGCGAGAGCAAAGGAGGTAACCCAAACCAGAATCCGCGCATGTGGGAATAAGCGTGGATTCTTTAACTGCGCTATTCCTGCCAGGCTATCGGTGCCATCCAGGTTACATTTCGACGCCTCTGCCTCCCAAAGAGCTTCCAGATAGTTTGATTCGCGTATTCCAGCAGTAGGACCCCATATTGGGGCAGAAGTTTCTGATCTAGTGGAGGAACAGACCCACTAACTTTGGGGCGCTCCAGTTACTAGCTGCCATATCCTTGTGAGCTTCAATTTACGCTTATCTTAACTCCGGAAATATTTCCGTCTGCCATGGTACTGCAGAACACGGGAGCAAGGGAAGACAGCAACAAGACATAGCACAGCCTATCGTGATGAAATTTACAGCAGGAGAACCAAGTAAGACTAGCCTTTGCGATGCTATATTTCTGTGAAGAATCAGATAAAATTCTGTGTTTCCTTCTTTTGGATCATCTCAAATTACAATAAGAATTCGGGGCGAAAGGGTTCACTTTTTTTCAGAAATGTCGAATGAAAATTGGGTGAACCTATAAGTCTGGGACACACTGTCTCAATATTCTGCGCTATTCTGGCAAATGAAGGCCGCCAGTGGTGCAGGACAAAAAGAGTGAAAGGAGAAATAGTGATGTTTACAGGACAATCATTCGTATTCATTCAAAGGCGTTTTACGTGGTCTTCACTCGCAACCAGGGATGGGGAAACTTGTATCAGTGGTGAGTGCTTACACCTAATGAATAACAGCCTTTAAAAAGTCACGCTCATCAATTCAAAAAGCTTTTTTAAGTGTGTTGAAAAGTAGGGAAAATGTTACATTCATTTTTTGTCGGGCGTCGGGTAACCTATACAAGGCGCGTCGCACGGCGGGAAGGCAGGGACGCGTCGGATCAGTGGACGAGTTGCAGCGCGTTCCGCACGATGTGGGCGCGGTGTAGTACATCCTATTCAACTTGACGCTAAATGGCTACAGTACGCGCTGCAACTTGTCCGCTGACCCGCCTGCGCCTCTGCCTTCTCGCCGGGCGACAGACTCCTTGTCGAGTAATCAGCCACGTCATTCTGTCTGAAATGAATGAAAGCTTTTAAGGTTTCCGGCGAGATTTTTGACGTGGCTGTAGATTTGCGGCCTGAATCTTCTACGTTCGGACAATGGCATGGCGTCATCTTGAACAGCACTAATAATCATGCATTCTGGATCCCTGATGGATTCGGTCACGGATTCCAGGTAACATTACCTATCATTCTGAATCACAGGCAAGGCGGAGTTTACGGTAAAAAAACGGCTCCCGGGATCCAGGTAGAGGTGAGCAGTGGTGCAGGGAAGAAAAAAATACAAACAAGAAAAACGCCCAGAGCTTCAGCAATAAGACCCCTCTTTGACCACTAGTTTACAAGTTACGTGTCTGATCGGTGCTCACCTTATCAACCTGGCGCTCTCTCTGAGCGGGTAGAGTCCAAAGGCGAGGGAATGGGCGGGCAGCGGCGCGAGCGGCGCGGCTTATCCTTGCTGGGACAAGGGGCATATTTTTTTACACGCTTAAGATACCCGCTTGCCTTCCCACTTGGTATATTTCCTCTTCTTTGTCAACCCTTCTATGGAATCCTCCTTCATTACTGTAAACAACACGAAGTGACCTCATTTTGCTCACGTTGAGCATGTGTTGCGCTAGCGTAATTCCAAAACAAGTTCTTCTTTATTCAAATATTGAAAACCTTGTACTTGTTACGATATTTATAGCTAAACATCAGTTAGAGGGCTAAAGGCTGCTTATTCTTTGAGGTACATAATCGGGCGATGAGGCGATGCAGTGACCGATCATTCACCTCGCCATGGGGTGTGCCTTTGAGGGTTAGGATCCCTGAAAAATGGGTCTAGACCACCGTTACAACTTGTTGGTTTTAAGCTTGTCTCCTTCCCTCGCTTTTCTTTCCCAAGTCCGGAATCGCAATGAAGTGCTCTGTTAGCAGTCCTATGTAGAGGATTGATTATGAACCAGCTTGAATTTTTGAATTATGTACTACCCGTAAATCAATAACAATACTCTTAGTGCCTATCCGAGGAGGGAGCTCACGTCGTTTACAAATGCACAGCTGTGTACGATCCGAAATCAGAATACGGTTAGCGCTCTAATTTTTCGACTTTTTTTGGATTCCACATCAATAAAGTGAATTTCAGGTATTGATCCCTTCGATAAGGATATAAACGTGGAATGGCCGTTGACCGATAAAGTAATCGTGAGCGAGCGGGATAAATGTCATCAGAGTTTCAAGGCGTTTATGACTGGTTCACGAAAATGAAGAATATTTATTGATTTGTGGTGATGTGTATTTGTTTTGAAGAATAGGCGAAGCTCCAGGATGTCGTGGGAGGTGACAGCAACTCATTTGTTTGTGCTTGTATTGAATGAACTGTATCAAATATTTCTGAATCGTTGATGCAAAACAGCCCTGATGAGTATTAT